TAAGCATAAGAATTGTGAAATAAAGAAAAGAGAAGTTCTTTTTACAATGTATAAATTGGTGCAAAAAAAGCCAAACATCAGTTTTAAAATAGAGCTTCACCTGTAACACAGACAACAGTAATGAAACGAAAATACTAGCAGCCAGCTGTTTTATAGGAGTAACTGGTATTACTTCCTCTTGCTGAGGTTCTCTGATGCTTCCAATTATAAGAATGTGATTTTAGATATCAGGGAGGTTAGATCAAGTTAAAAATGGCCACTTGATCCAATTTGGGATGGGGGTGCTTCGAGGGGCAAGTAGGGTCTGTTAGCAGGGATCAGGGGGTCAAGAGGGGTCTGTGGTGGGGATGGGGAAGCAAGCGCAGTATGCAGAGGGATATGGTAGTTTGGGGTGGCAAGAAGGGTCTGCAGGGAGTAAATTGGGGGAGTTAGCACAGTTTGCCAGGGGGTGCTTGGGGGATTGGGGGTTAACACAGTCTTGGAGGATTTGGTGGGGTTAGGGGGCTAGTGGGGTCTGTGGGGAGCTTGTGAGGATGGGGAGGCTCTCTTCCCTGGGACCAGGGGCTGTTTTTAGCCCCCCAACCCCTCCAGTGAACCAACCCATCATGTCTGTGGGGAATGCAGCCTCAGGGCTGGGGCAAGTGGCTGGGCTGAGAACTATACAGAAGTTCAATTAGATCAGGTCAAGTGGGACTGATCTAAGTTAGACTACCTCCAAGGTACAGTTAACTTGCCATTTTTAGACAGATCTAAACTTCCTCAATTTCTGTACAGTTCACAGTTAGATCCACCTAACTAGAGATCCAAGCATAAGTAAGGTCCACACATGGATGAACTAAGTTAGATTGGGTGGCCATTTTTAATGTAACCAAACTTCCACCTAACCTCCCCAAACATCTGTATGTACTGTTAGTGTACAGAATAAAATCTGTACTGGCTGTGGATCCAGGTTTTGTAGTGTAGATGTTGCTTTATTGGTTGCAGAATTTGAACAGCATATAGTGAATAAAGCAAAGAACTGCAAAAAAAGAAAGGCCTGCCTCATGCTTAAGACACTTGAATGTTGCTCCAGAGATATGCTTTCTATCCCTGCTCCTGTCATAGAGTCCCAACCTAGACATTTAAGCAACAGTTTCCACAGGTACTCAAAACTGTACATTCTGCACAGCTCTAACTGAAGGCAATGAGAGCTGTGTTTTCAACTTATTAAGTACTATATAATGCTAAGTACTTTTAAGAAACCAGTCCCAGGTATTACAAACTGGATATGTGAAATTGATACCACATTACCTAGATATTTTTAAATTCAACTACTATTTATCTCAATGTCACTTTCCCAATTGTAAAATAGGATAATTTAACCCCCCCCCCCCATGCTTATGAAAATAAAATTTTCTGTAGTGCTCAGGTATTATGATGATAGTCACAGAAAACCCATCAAGGAAGCAGTAATTCTGTGCTTAAAGCATGGCTTGAACAGTGTGCAGCAAACAATACTGTAGCAAAGGTGGTGCCAGAGATGTACTGGTACCAGGCACCCTCGCATGGCAGGGGGAGAGGGTGCCAAATCAAACGCAAGTACTTATATGTAGCATGAGGCACAGATCCTGGCAGAAAAATAGTACAGATTCATGTAATCAAAGATTGTGTCAAAATGCACACGCCCAAGGGAATTTAAACACTCACATATCTAAATTGTGAGCACTTGGCTTTGCAATCCTAATAGTGTTTTTCTGCCATTATATTTCTAGGCAAATAAACATAAGCTACTAAAGAATAACAGCATGGAACATCAGTCTTCATTCTCATTTTTCCCCTTGTGTCTTCTGTTTTCTTGCTTAGCAACAGTATTATTAAATGATTTTCAATTAACTAAAACCATACATTTTTCATTGCCTTGTTTTATTTAAGCAGTTCCATTAAAGAAAGATGCAGAGAAATAGCCCATCAATCGAGTATGAACAATTATCCTTTTTTTAATTGAATTAGATACTGTACCTATTTGAAACTGGGTAGATACTAAAAAGTCCCAAAGGGGCCTGGTTCTGTAACACCGTGATCATAGTTTCTATTTTTGTGCCTAGTCTGGCTCCTCCCGTTGGGTTGAACAGAGTGACAATAAAATGTTCATCCATTTCTGGTTCTGCATCAAGTATGGCAGTAATGTGCAGAGTCTGAGGGTAAAACAAGGAGGACATGAAGGCATTTAAGACATGATACCTACTGACAGAAAAGAACTCCAACAGATGATGCTACTTTGGTGACTTCAGAGGGGCTAAACATGATTTGGCTCACAGTGGGAGTGAAGTAGCAGACACCACACTCAGTGAGAAAAATGTGAAAATCAGAGGGATAGTTATCTAGAGACGTGGTTCTCAACCTGTTCTTTATGGATCCCTACTTTTGAACAACTGTTAGATGACCACACAATTTCCCTTTTCATTGCCTCATAGTTCTGTTTCCCATTCTCTTCATCCTCTCTCTCTCCTACAATTTTTTTGTTTCAGTTTGGTTCAGTTTTTCTGAGATCATGGTAAAGGGCTGGGGTGTTTTTGACATTTTAGGTTATTTGAGAGGCTCCAAATCTCTTGGAAAAGACTTCTTTCATACTGGGTTTCCTTCTTTGTTCTAAAGCTCCCCTTCCGTATATTCTACTCACCAGACACCTAATTGAACTGTCCCTTAGTGATAGCTGTATCGCAGCTTCACTCATGTTGCTGCAATTAAGCTAAGTGCCATAGGAACAGAAAGCATTTTTTTACTGCCAGAAGCAGAAGATCAGAATAGTACATTTGTGGTACCTCTGACAGGCTACCGCTGTACAGATCTATGTTTTTTTTGGTTCCAGGTGAAATCTATTTAGTATGTCATATTTAGGGGTTTAAGGAGACCTCAGCTTTTTATATACGTGCTACACTGGCAGCCAGGGGTGTGCGAATTGGACCGTATTCAATTTGGATTCAGCCCGAATCGGGGACAGTGATTCAATTCGTTGATTTGATGCTGAAGATTCGAATTCAGCCAAATCTCCACCAAATCGAATCAGAGACCAAAGCTTCATACAGCCCTACTGGCCACCTCTACACATTCATTTAATGTGTGGTAGTTACTGCGCATTTTGTTTAGTACTCATTTAATGAAGTACTAACTAAATGCACAGTAACTACAGTTAGTACACAGTGACACCAGCGCACTTTTTTTTGTGATAGTTACTACGCTGTAGACTAATAACACTGTGCAATAGCATATTAACACGGTTCTTGACTGTCACACTACTGTGCAGTGTTATTAGGCTACTGTGCAGTAAGCATCTCATGTAGATGGCAACCACTGACTAACTCAACTCTAGATATGATCCAAAGTGCTTCTGCTCAAGTCCTACATAATGTAGAGCTCAGTTCTTCAAAGATACTACATATATTCTATTAGAACAATTTTAATTATGATTTTCATTGAACTTATTCCATGTTCCCTGCCAGTTAGGCACCTGTGGTCCTTGAAATTAAAACAAAGTGACGGAACTAAGGCTGGTCAAGATTTTTCAATCAAAATGCTTACTTCATCAAAATGGAAATTTCAGTGGGAATCCTTCAGTGGGAATCAGGTTTTCATTGAAAAAATGTTAAAACAATTTTTTTCTCAAAAGGCAAGGGAATATAAGGTTCCTGGATGCCGATATAAGGTTCCTGGAAGTTCAGCAAAAAACAGAACACTTACATAAAGAGCAGCCTTTCAGGTAGGGTCTGGGTCCTGGTCTAGGATGGGCAGGGTGAGGCCAGAAGTTTCAGGACTGGCAGGAGCAGGGGCACTGGTCCATGTCATACGCTGGTCCATGCCAGTGTGTGTGTGTTGGGGAAGAAGGATGAGCAGAGGGGAAAGAGATGCTAGTAGTGGAGGCAGGCCAGCTGTGTCCAGGAGATGCTGGCAAGTTGGGGAACAAGTGCTGATAGGTTAGTTTCTCCTGCCTGCTGCAGGCCTGTGGAGAGGGTCTTTCCAGTGCCAGGGCTAGCAGAGGAAGGGATTTGCTCTGTGCTCTGCTGGAGCAGTGAAGTTTGGTCAAATCATAGACTATTTCTGTGGAGTGTGTGTGGGGGTGGGGAGGGAGGGAGGGAGGGCAGATCTAGGTATGCTAGGATGTTAGAGGGCAGAATGGAGGATCCTATTAGAGAGATAAGTGTACAAGCATGTATTTCTCTGCTAGAAACTCAAATGGTGGCTAATTCTACCTTGTCAGATATGGTAGAAGTTTCTACCTACCATTTTTGGTTGGGTAGAAACTGGTTTGAGTGCTTGTACAGTTAGGGTTTTAACTGGTGGTACTGGGATTCCACTGGTAGAAATGCAACATTTGTACATACCCTAAAAATCCACTAGCTGAAGAGGGATTAGGATTCTACCCTAACTAAATAAAATAAATTTAAAACTAATTGACAAAATTATTCATTTTCTAGGTCAAAGTTTTGAGGTTTGGGAGGTTTGTTTGGGGTTTTTTGTGGGGACGGAGATAAGCACTAGACAGAACTAGATACTATTCTTATCCAAAATGAACATTTTTATAGTTTGAGACATTAAATTGCTGACACAATTTCTTACGCTTACAGTAATATATTTTCTCTAGGTGAGAGCAATGGAAGTATTCTTAGGCTATAGAATGATACATTAGTTCTATTATAAAGGTAAAATGTTACCATAGTCTGAAATCTTTATCTTAGATACTTAGCTGCATGCCAAGTGTATATAGGGAAAGCGGCTCTGAGTGTACATGAAAGTAACTTGGGCATTACCTCATTTTCTATTTATTTGAGTGGTTCAAAGTGACAAGTATTCCAACAGCAACAACAGGACTAAACATCTATCAGAGATAAGTACTGGCATATTCATACTTTTTTACCTTTTCATTTGCAACATGGCATAAAATCATATACCATATTTGAGTCAACTTTCCTACAAGATAGGAAGCAAAACGCACTGAAAATCAAATCTAACATAAAACGTGGCATGTCTGTCTGCATTCCAACTAATTTGCAAAGGGTCTATTTATTCTGTTTTTTAATTACTACCTGCACATTACCTTTAATCTGACTCCTTCTTCCAGCACAATATATCCTTGTGAAGGGGTCAGATCCACTGTCACATCTGATGAATTCATTTCTCTTATGATATACTGAACAGTCACAGTGCCAAATATCCCCCGAGGGGGTTCCCTAATAATATTCAGTACTGCAACACTTTCCATAAAGTCGAGAGCTGTTGGCTCCTTTAGGAAGAAGTGATCACTATTATTAAATGACAAAACTCCATGACCGTCATCATTAGCAAGGATGGTGACTGTGGCTTTTGAAAGACAGAAAATGAAAAATGTATCATGTTAATGTGATTTGTGTATATAAACATACAAAATACAAATGTATACACACATATTCACATGCACCACACAGCCCGATATATAATCTCTTCATGTAATGTCATATAAATGTATGACTGCATATATTTTCGTAGTATCATATATTGTAATTTTGTTGGTGCAGGACTAGGAGAGATAAGGGAATGAGATGGAGAGTGTGACCCTTTTTCATAGAAAATAATTATATTTTCCCTCAGACCTCAGTTCAGTAAGATAATTAAGGTGGCTGCCTGGGGAGAGGGCTTGTAAGTGCTCATGAGTAAACAGGCCTGCCTGGCTTAGGCTTTTTGGAACCGCTTTAGTTTGGGAGACATTCTGTAGGCTTGTGTGAAGGAAGGAGCTGATTGTGTCTGGTTGAGAACACAGCAGAAAAAAAAGGAAGGAGCTAGCAGGAAAAAAAACCAATGTCACAATGCCAAAGCCTCTGCCACTGCCAGCCCTTCTTCTCTCTGTACCTATGCAGGCTCTGTCCAGGCATGGCCCCTGACTGCCAAGACTTCCACCCAGGTCTGGCTGGTTTTGCAGAGCCTACAGTCTGCCTACCCTTGCCAGGCACAGCCAAGTGGGAGAATGCTTCTGGTGTGAGAGAATGCTTCCTGGTGGATTCTTTCAGGAATCAGGGAAGGGAACTTCAAGAGGACATGGATAGGGTCCAAAACATCTGTGAGTGTGAGGCCTTCATTGAGTCGATGCACAAAGAGACCTCCAAAATCAGGGAAGAGGGACAACCAGAAAAAGCCCCAAAAGTCGCACCTTCTCTGGAAGGTGGAAAATGGCAGTTTGTCACCTCTGGAAACGGACAGCATTCCTCTTCCGGACCTGCAGCTATCCAACTGAGAACAGGTATAAAGCTCTCACTTTGGATGAGAAGGAGCCCAGTCCAGTGGCAAAGGAAAACAAGCCATGCACCCCTAAGCGAGAGAGGATCGAGACCACTGCTACCAACCAAAAGCAATGGGTGGTGGTGGCTGGCGACTTTCTCTTACAGGGCACAGAGGTATCCATCTGCAGGCCTGACCTGTAGAGGCATCCATCTGCTGGCCTGACTTGTGAAGCCCATATCGGAGGTGTTATGAAAAAGATTGCCCAGACTTATCTGACCCTCTGACTACTATCCCACTACTCATCCCTGTGGACACTAATGATACTACCAGGGATGACCCTGAGCAGATGAAAAGTAACTACATGGCTCTGGGTGCAAGGGTGAAGCATACAGGGACCCATGTGGTATTCTAATAGATCTTTCTAGTCAGCCAGAGGCAGATGCATCCTAGAGATTAACACATGGCTGCGGAGATGGTGTCACTTTCAGGCCTTAAGCTTCTTTGAGCGTGGGGTGCTGTTCCAGGAATGGGGTCCACCTGATAAAGTCTTCATGTACAGGTTTGCTAATCTAGTGAGGAGGGCTTTAAAATAGGTCTACTGGGGGATAAAGAAAAAGCCCAGAGGAAAGCAAAGAGCCTGGAGACCTGGATGAAAAAACTTCGCAATGTTCTCAGGAAGAGGCCAGGACAGTCAGATAGATACTTGAAATGTTTACATGCTAATGCAAGAAGTATGCGGAACAAACAGAAAGAACCGGACATCCCAGTACAATCACAGAATTGTGATGTAATTGGGATTCTGGAGACATAGTGGGACAGTTTATGTGACTAGAATATGGCTGGCAATATAAAGGGATTCTATAGGTATGTCAAAAATAAGAGGAAAATCAAAGAAACCATAGGTCCCTTATGGAATGAGGAAGGCAATCTAGTCACCGACAATGCAGAAAAGGCTGAAGTATGCAATGCATTTTTTACTTCAGTTTTCACAAACTGAGGAAGCTACCAGATGATGAGTGCAGTTGGCAACAGAAATAGGGAAGGAGATAAACAGCTTAAAGTAATGCCAGAACTGGTTAGGAATTACTCAGAGAAGCTAGATGCTTCCAAGTCAGCAGGGCTGAATGGGATGCACTTGAGGGTAATGAAAGAATTGGCCAAGGTGATTTCAGAGCCATTGTGCATCTCTTTTGAGAAATCACAGAGGTCAGATGGGGCCCCAGATGACTAGAAAATGGAAAAATATAGTGCCCATAATTAAGAAGGGGAAGAAAGAAGGTCCAGAAAACTACAGACTAGTCAATCTGACCTCTATACCCAGAAAAATTATGAAGCAATTAAGGAATCCATTGTGAAGTACCTAGAGAAACACATGATTATGAGGAACAGTCAGCGTGGATTCACAAAGGAGCAAGTCATGCCTAGCCAATCTGGCTTTCTTGTATGATAAAGTGACAGGCTTTGTGGAAGCAGGAAAAGCAGTGAATGTTGTAAACCTGAAATTTAGCAATTTCCACTGTAGAGATTTTAAGTTTGCTATTATGAATTAAGCTTGACATTGTACTTTTATATCTTGTTGTTTGCTAAAAAGATACAGTAAGTGTTTTTTCTTTTTTGCATTCTTCTTTTATGATATATATGGATATATGGATGAATGAGTCTAAAGTGAACAAACAAAGTTACTAAATGGTGAAAAAGGCTGAAAAGGTAAGTCTGTATCAGGTGGACCAGTCACCCAATAAGAACTTAATAACGCCTATGAAGGAGGGAGGACTTAGCAGCAAGAATTTGGGTGACACACTGCAAGCTTCACTGGAGCACAGACACACATCTGTATGTCCCACTCCTTCCTTATCTCATACTCCTAGGTTGGCCAGCTAGTGCAGTACAATGGACTTTGGTAACTATAACATCTGCAGAGTGATTGGGAGCGCGTGTATGTGTATAAGCACTCTTTTGAATATGCTAATCAATAAATGCAGCATTTTGTCTTATCTCCCTCATAAGGTCTCGCTCATCATTTAAGCAAATTAGTAATCTGTGCAAAACCACAACATCCTCATTAACAAGCTAAGGAAATACAGACTAGATGAAAGTACTGTAAGATGAATCATCATACTCAGCAGGTATTCCCTCAATAATTCAATGTCTAGGTGGGAAGAGGTATCACATAGCGTTCCCTAGGGGTCAGTCCTATGTCCAGTACTGTTCAACATTTTCATTAATGATTTGAATATTTACTTAGTAAATATGTAGATGACACCAAGTTGGGTGGAACTGCAGACACTGCAGGGGAGAATTAGGATTCAGAATGACTTGAATGGACTGGAGAAAAAGTCCACAATCAATCAGATGAAATTCAACATGGCCAAGAGCAAAGTCCTGTACTTGGGATGAAATAACCGCATGCACAAATACAAAGACTAGGGAAAGACTTGCAGTAATGCAGAGAAGCACCTGGGGATTATAGCGAACCATGAGCAAAACACAAAACAACTGTGTGCTGTTGTTATAAAAAAACCCAGTAGCATCCTGAGTTGTATTAACAGCAGTGTCACTTGCAAATCAAGAGGAATGATTTTTTTGCTCTGTTCAGCACTGGTGAGGCCTCATCTGGAGTACTGTGTCCAGTTTTGGGCCCCACACTTCAAGAAGGATGTGGGTAATTTGGAAAGAATCCAATACAGAGCAACAAACACTATTAGGAGCCTTGGAGGCAAGTCTTATGTGGAAAGGCTGAAAAAAAAATGGGTTATTTACCCTGGACAAGAAAAGACTGAGGACATGATAACAGTCTCCAAATACTTGAAGGATATGGAGCTATGCTTTTCTCTGCAACTAGGGGACAGGACTAGAAGCAATGGTCTCAAGCTGCAGCAGGGGAAATTTATGTTGGATATTAGATGGAACTTTTTGACTATGGGGGTGGTCAGGCACTGGAACAGGCTGCCTAGAGTTGTGAAATTTCCATGCTGGAGATTCAAGAGCAGACTAGACAGATAATTGATTTGGATGGTTTAGTCAGGGATGCGCCTGCCCTGAGCAGGGACATGGACTAGATGATCTTGTAAAGTCTCGTCCACCCCTGCTTTCCTATGGTCCTATAAGGTTGTACCCTAATCAACTTAAAACATATAAGCATTCCCATTAATTTCATTGGGAATGGGGTATATGTCCAAGTGTCAGGCACATGCTTAAATACTTTGCTGTGACGGGGCTTTATGTTGGACTGGCCATAAGACACTATGAGATGTATTGCTTACAACATGATTCAGTGCATTATCAAAACTGGCAGGCATTATGTATTGCTTCCCCAATTCATACCACATCTGCTGAAGTGATTTAAGGATAATGAGTTCTGTTTTGCATTCAAATAAGATGGCTCCTGTTAGTAAAATTAAACTAGGCAAAGGGAATTCTGCATATTTGGCAAACCTTTATTTTACTGAACTTTAGTGGGAAGGCAAGACTCTGTTACCTTCATGCATGGTAAGTAATACTCATGAGATGACTTCCAGAATGAGAAGAAATCATCAGGCCCAAAATGATTAGATGAAGAAAGGACGCTCTTTGGATATTATTGTCCTATCTATCTTATCTTACAACACTCAAAGAGGAAATATATGAGCATCTTTAGTCAGGGTATGTGTACCATGTCTTAGGGAGTGACACTGACCACACCATGTGCTATATCATTATCTTCCTGCCCGCCCCCACAGATGTAATGTGGTGCTAAATATACTGAATAATGTCTCCATCTTGGGTGTCCCAGGCCTCCCTAAGGGCAGTGTAGCAGGACACTAAGGTGCCTGCTACTCTCAGAGCAGAGGCACAGGTGTGGGTTGCTAGGGCAACCACTGGGGAGTCAGCTGACAGGAAGGGGCAGGGCCTGGCACATATAAACCCCAGGGGTGAGGCCAGGAGGGCAGTTCTCCGCTAGCACCCAAGGGAGAAGGAGCTCTGCCAGAGCAAGCAGAGTAGAGAAGCCTGATGGCACGAGCAGCTCCTGTTTGCCGTTATGTGGTGGAGAATTCCCTGGTAGGGACTGAATGACGGTTAGCCAGACAGCTTAGATTTTATGTTCTAGCCCAGGGGCTTGAGTTTTCTGTTTGTAGTTTTATAAGACCGGTGGTTTGGGTGAGGCTATTAGGGGTTGAAGGAGGCCTCATAGGGGATCCCCAATGATGTAGGGACCCCGGCACCAGAGAGGGCGCAGCATTTTGGGGTGCACTGGCCCCATCCCCAGAGCAAGGAGGGCAGCGAGAAGCCCCAGAGCAAGAATGCAGCAGAGTGCCAGGAAGGCACAGAATGAGAGGGCGGTGGAAAGCCAGGGAAGACAAGGGGAGGGCCAAATTACAAGAAGGTCCAGATCAAACCACATCAGTACCATCTGTGAGGCTTGGGCTGCATTGTAGGGGAGGAAAAGGAGCTGTAGATAGCGCCCCCTGGCACCAGGGCAAATAAAATGGGCAGCCTCCTGCTAATTAACATGCATTAATTAATCAAGATCAAGGTGTGGCAGGAGAGAAGGCAGGCGGTCGGCCCATAACAGGAGGGCGGAGTCACCGATAGAAAGACTCTAGTAGAGGTACTCCTGTCACAGGCAGCTACATCACAGTTCTTCCACGTTTAATGCATACAGTTGATGTGCTATCCATGCTTTGTTACAGCACACTAGTCAGGGGTAGGCAGATTTTTCTAGCTGTTGGAATGACCCAAGTCAGATATGGGTAGGAGGGCATTTGGACCCAGCTGCCACCATTGCCACCACTTCTTTGTGGCATCATGGGAAGAGTGCCTGCAGCCACTACTTGCGTCTCTGGCAGGACAGGGGTGCACCTGCAGCTGAAGCCCCATGTCTGCCCCATATCCAAGGATTCTATGGGCCAGATCTGGCCCACAAGCAATAAACTGAGGTCCACATGTAATGTCCCTGGAAGGACTCAAGGAATATTTTTTTCACTAATAGACTTTCAAAACCCACTTCTTTGTTTAAATAATTACAAACAAATTCAGTTGCAATATACGTTGTCATTGTTAAACAAATATTCTTACTTTGATAATGTTCTTTTAAAGTTTAATTCTTTGAATAAGGAACTGTGAACCAGAAATGAGGGATTGAGAATAAGGAATCAAAGATCTCCCCAGGCAGGCACCATGCAGCCTGCAAATGCACAAAATAATCTGGAGGTTCCTCACAAAGCTCTTTTTCTGCCCAAGTTTTACTTTAAGGCCTATTCATTTCAAATAGAATCTTGGCACTTAGATGGATTTTATTACAGGTTTCTGTATCTTCAAAGGGAAAGAAATCACCCATAGCAGATAAACAGTGGTTTCAGGAATACAACAATTTCTTGGGCAGAATGAAATTAAAACAGGAGTTAAAAACTCAAGGACATAGAGAAGTCTATCTTACCTGTTGTGTTCTTCCCTAGCTCCAGTCCCACAGAGGGATTTGTTAAAATTAACTGGAATCTCTCATCACCTTCAGGAATATCATCATCAAAAATCACAATGTCAATGAATTTATACCTTTCTCCATCAGCAAAATAAAGAGTCTGGTGGGGAAGCATACAAAGACATTACATGTTTTGGAACATCAACCAAATACAGCTTTTTCAAGTCTGCTCTACAGATTTGCACTGTGGAAATAAGGGTCAAACCTGTGAATGTCTCTATATGTAAACTGGCTAAAAACAGGAATGAAGATCATCAGTCCAT